TGTGGAGGTGCTAAGGGAGCCTTGGCAAGAGGAGGAGGAGGAGGAGGACTGGTAGTTAGGGAGGGGAAGAGGTGGATGGTGTTTGGGTAGGGTTGGTGAGGGTGAAGCGAGTGTGATGCACCCAAGACGGAGCTAGGAGGTGTTGGAAGTGGTTATCCATCACCTTGCTGTTAGGAGAAGCCTCCTCCTGCAGTCTGCCTGGGTCGAACACGTGTCTGGGCCTTCTGCTTTGCCAGCAGGAGACACGGAGGACATGGAGCAATGGACACACGTGGATTTGGTGAGGTAGGATGTGATCTCAGGAGCTGGTGGCCATTGTATGGACAGCGAGACCAAGCAAGCACTGGAGAGGTGTGACCCTGATGGTACCCGAATTGATGTCTGGTGTGAATCATGGAATGGTTTGGCTTGAAGGGACCTTAAAGCTCATCCAGTTCCAACCCCGGCCATGGGCAGGGACACCTTCCCAATGATCCGGTGCCTCTCCCGCATCCATCCGCTCACTTCAGCATCACCTCCACCCGCAGGGCCCATTGCAGCTCTGGGTATTTCTTACACTACAGATGCTAAACACCCACAACAACCCCGCGTCTTCCCGAGCCACCGACTCCTCCTGACATGGATTTCTCCCGGCGTTCCAGGTAGCTCCTCCTTTCCCCGGGCTTTTCCTCAGCCCAGCAAGGAGGTGTCTGCATGATTCCACTGAAGATGCAGGCTGACAAATAAAGAGGGGATAATTGCTCGCAGCTCGCAGCCGATCCGCCCTGAATTATTTATCCAGGATGAGTTATTCGCTCGGCTCCGTTATGGAAGGAAAAGCTGCTTCTGGTGCTGACTCAGCTCTTTTCATGGAGCTCCTCTGTGGACCCATAAGTGTGGGGCAGAATAGTGTGTGCCAAGCCCTGGGGTTGTCAGGACCCGACTCCTCTTTCTGGGCTATGTTGGAGCCATCTCGCTTCCCTGCGGTGTGGCCAAGCCCTGGTTGTGGGTCCCGTCAGGAAGTGAAGGCATCTTTCCAATGGAGTCTTGCACTGCCTGCGGGATCAGTGCTCCTGTTCCAGGCTCTATGTGCACCTTAGGGATAAGGTTTGGAAGGCATCAAATCCTTGGGGATTGATGCACTGCTCTGGAGCGGTGGCCAGCGCCTGAGCTGGACCCTGTGCTCTGGTGGTAGCACCAAGGAGGGTCTTCATCTCTGGACCTGGTGTCACACGTGGTGCCATTGAGTGTCTCCAGTCCATGGAGATGCTCTGAACAAGCATCTTTCCCTTGGGGGGGAATGTGGGGGTACCCCAAGGCAGCTCCAGCCACGCTGATCCTCCAGCTTTGGGTTGCACCTGCATCCTTCAGGCTTGGTATGAGGGTGCCACAAACCATCCTGAGCCTGCAGAAATACATCCCTCCATGGCAATCACACGCTGCCCTCTGATGTGAGACTGAGCAGCTCTAGGTGGTGGAGATGGAAAGGGTTTCCTGGTGCTTTTCATACTTATGAGCCCTGGAAAGAGCAGGAGGTGCAGGAGTGGGAGTCAGGGATGGGGTCAGAACAGGGATGGGGTCAGAACAGGGATGGGTTCAGAACAGGGATGGGGTCAGAACAGGGATGGGGTCAGAACAGGGATGGGGTCAGAACAGGGATGCAGGCTGGAGGTTTCCAATGGGATGCTCCTTGCTTAACTGCACTAACACTGCAAAATGGTCCCTGATGGTGATGTCCCTCATCCTGCTCTGCAGCAAGTGTCACCAGGCTGAACCAAGGGAGCTCTCCACTGGCTATAGGTGACAATGGTCTGTGGAGCAGGACTTGTGGGTGTATCCCACTGCTCATTCCCTTACCTGGGAACAGAGCTCGAAACGGCCCTCAGAGGTGAGGAGCTGCCCCTGCGCTCATCAATCTCCATTTGCATCCCAAAGAAGAAGGAAAAGATTTAGGAGGAAGATCAATATTCCAAGAGCCTCTCTTTATCTTATCCCGTGCTCCTCTGGGGCTGGGCAACCGGAGGCAGGTACTGGGAATAAATCCTCCTGGCTACCTTGATGTAAATCAGGAGGACGAGGATGGATTTATGGGATCTGCGCCTGATTTATGCTCCCGTGTCTGCTCCTTGCAGGTCTGTGCGTGCCCCCGGGCCGGATGGGGACCGGAGCCACCCCCAGCCTCCTGCTGCAGCCGAGGTGGGACTGGGGCTGCTTCGGGCTGCGTTTGCCTTTGCTTTTGAAGCCGAGTCCAAGGTACTTTTGCTGTGCCTCTTCCCGCTGTGGTCAAGCAAAGCAGGTCCCAAAGCGATGACTTGGTGGAGGAAAGGCTTTTGGGTTGCTCCCAGTGATGCTCTTCCCGCTCCAGCCCTCCTTCCTTCCCGTCCTGAGAGCCGGCGAGCGCTTGCTGCTGGTGAAGTTGGTGTCTCCATGGAAGAGGGGGATGCTTTTCCTTGGGAAAGCCCTTTCAGAGGTCCTGGGGGTGTCAATGGGGGCCTTGTCCCTGCTCCAGGACACCCCCCCCCCAACCAATCCCGGATTCCCAGCCCATGGCGGACAGGGGACCAGGGGAGCTCTTGTTATTCCTCTCATGCAGCAGGAAGGATCTCTGTGAGTGCCATAAACCCATCACGTGGGCAGAGCCTGGGTGAGCTCTAATTGCTTCTATTTGCATAATGAGGCGAGGCGCAGCATCCTGCTGCTGTTTGAACGAGGAGGATCGGAATCAGGGCGAGATAAACAACCATTGGCACCCCCCCCCCCCCCCATCCCTATCCCTGCTCCTGAGCTCTGTGGGTCATTCCAGCTCTTTGGCCTTTGGGAACACCAGGACCTCTCCCCAGGGATCATGGGAGCTAAGGGGGTGCTGCTCCCCTCACTTGGCTGCAGTGATTTGGGGGCTCTGCTTGGAGCTGGCAGGGAGGGACGTGGTGTGGAGGTGTCTGAACGGGAGCTGGAGAGGGAATGCGGTGCCTTGGCTGGATTCCCTGGGTTCCATGTGGGAAGCGGTGGTGTTCGGAGCTGGAGGGGGAGCCCAGGGATGAGGGTTTCCACGGGTGGGAGCCCAGCAGAGGTCACTGCAGCCCAGTGTCACCGCGGGGCCGTCCGGTGCGAGGAGCCGGGCACTGTCCAGCCCTCGCATCCCCAAGTGGGGCTTCTGGGACCAGCCCCGAGTGTGCCCACATGTGATGCTCTTGAATCACAGCATGGTTTGGGTTGGAAAGGACCTTAAAGCTCCCCCAGTTCCAAGCCCCTGCCATGGGCAGGGACACCTCACACTGGACCATGGCACCCAAGTCCTTCTCCCCACTCACCCCAGGGACCAGGAGCATGCCCTCTATCCGCTTGGGTCCTTCCCAGCAGCCAAACCCAAGTGGTCTCTTTGGCATCACCCAGACCTGCTTGGCACCTATGGCACCACGGGAGACGGAGCAAATCACCTCCTTCCTCCTCCTCCTCTTCCTCCCCGGTGCTGAACCCTTTGCTGCCCTTTAGGAGAGAAGTGCTGACTCCAGATGCTTCCCTAAATGAGAACCTTCTGCAAACAGCGCTGGTTTATTTTCATATTGAAAGCAAAGCAAAGGGCTGTTATGATGATTATTAACATTTCTGCAGCCTGTGCTTGGAGCGGGGAATGCCGTGCTGGTGGGGGAGAGGACAGGCAGATGGATGGGTGCATGGGGAAGCCCTGTCCCCCCTCCACTGCTGGGTGCATCATTGGGCTGGTTCATCTTGCCCAGCTCCATCTCATCCCATCCCTTTGGTGCCTGTGGTCTTCCCTTCCTTCCCCAACCCCAGTGGTCCAGGGATGAGGACTGGGATCCCCACGAGTGGGGACCAGAGGCATGGCCAAGGCTGCTGCTGGTGTATCCCCATCCTGGACCATGAATCTCCCTTTGGCCTTCGTGGTGTTTGAAAGCCTGTCCTCAGCTCAATGTGCTGAACAGGAGGGGAGCAGCAATGCTTCCCGCATCCCCTCCTCATCCTCTGGCCCCAGGGAAGCAGATTAGGATGGAGAAAAGAAGAACCCCCAAAGGTGGGAAGAAACCCCCTTGGCACATCTTAAGGTGGGAGTGGAAGAGGGGGGAGAGAAGGAACAAGATGGGAGGAGAGGTTGTGAGCAGGAGATTGCTGCTTGCAGCGAGTGTCTGTGTGTGTGCACTGAGGCTGATGAAAGCACCAGGACCTCTTGAAGCTGAAGCCAAGGTGAGTAAGCTGTGGCTGTCCCGGGGGTGGCAGGAGGGAAGAGGCCTATTTACTCAGGAGCAGCAGGGATGCTCCATCAGGAGCTCTGCAGTGGTAACAGCTTGATGACAGAGGTTGGCTTTCAGCATCCTGTGCTGGGAGGAGGGATGCAGGCTGTGGTCCATGGGGATGCAGTATGGATATGGGTCTGCCTCCTCCCTGCATCCCTGCGGCTGAGCAGGGGGTGTGGGTGCTGGTCCCCACCACGGTGGGGCTTCAATAGAGCAAAAGCATCCCAGACACAGCTGGGAAGTGGCCTCCTGCTGTCCTGAGCGAGGGGTCCTGCTCCCTCTGCCCCATCAGCAAGAGGCGCTTCCCCCTCATCCCGTGCGGACAAGAAGCTCCCATTGCTGCTGCACAGCTTTTTGCCCTGCATAGGGTCCCGCTTGCCAAGGGCTTCCTGGGCTCCCTTTATCACCCCCCTGTTGCGTTGGAGATCCGTGTTTCATTCTTCTTTCTTCCTTCCTCAGCTTTGTCCCTGTCGCCGCTGCTGTTCCCGGCTTTCCAGCGGGTTTTGCTCTGCAGAGAGCTGCAGGTTGGCTACGAAAGATGACAAAGCGTTCATTTAAATGCACACCATGATGCCGGCGAGTCCATTAGGGGAATTAATTTGAATGGTTGGCATTTAATAAACAGCCTCGTTCCTCCTCTTCTTCTTTCCCACCCCCCTTTCCTCCCTGTGCTGCCATCTCGCTTAAAAAGGAACCACATGTGGCTATAGGAGGGAAGGGGAAGCAGGTATCCGGGTCCAAGGGGAGGGAGGAGGAGGAGGGGGGGGTGTTGGAATAATGAAAGAGAGCTGGTGTGATAAGAGGAACTGCAGTTTGGTTTTGTTCCTGGTAAAATAAAGCACATGTGGAAGGGGCCGGGGCGAGCAGCTCGGGTTCACGGCGTGTTCGGTGCATGGGGCAAAACAGGGATGAAACAGGGATGGGAGTTGGGAAGGAAGCGAGGGTCCCAGCCTGGCTCCAACAGGGGGAAGGCAAGGGGGGCTCGGAAGACGTTGCTGCCCATATGGTGTGTATTACAAGCTCCTTTCTAGTTGTAAAGATTAATTTAAAGCCTTTCTCACCTCCCCCCCATCCCTCTTGCAGTGACAAATGAACATCTGGGCTGAATGCTGCCCAGATCCTAATCAAAGCATTTTTTCCAGGGCCGTTGTCTGCCTTTATGGCGATCTGCTGTTGGGATTCGCTGCAGTTTCAATGCACTTGGCAATTCGAGGCTGTAAATACCCCTCCCTGGGATTTATGATTCAGGAGAATGGGATGGTTCCCCCCCCCTTTCTTTTTGCTGCTTGATTCGTTTGTTTGGTTTGGTTTAACGGCATCTTCTTGTCCGTGCATAAGTTACAGCACGAGGGGAGGTTGGTTTCCCTCCCCTCTTTGCTGTGAGGTATTAACAATTAGGTACAATGGATTTGCTAATCCATCGCTGGTGGAGGTACCAGAGAGCCCCGAATCCCTGTCGAGCATCTCCCGGTCATCCCAAAGCATCCCTTTTGCTTACAGAGTAGATGGAGAAAGGAGCTTCCTGCCAAAGGGACGCCGAGTCCTTTCCATGATGCTCAAGGGCTTCTTCACCAGGGGAAGCATAAGCCACAGCCTGATATGGAAAAGCCCTTTGCTTCCCAAAATGATGCTGAAGCACATGATGGAGATGCTGGAAAATAAGGAATGCTGTGGTCCCATTCCCATCGGACTCATTTTTCAACCCTGTGTTAAAGGATGAATATTTGAAGCTTACCTGGGATGTTGAATAGTGGTGGTGGTGGTACCCCAGGTACCATAGGAAAGGACAGTGCTTGAACTGGGGCAAAGAGGTAGGAAAATCCCTTTAGGACAAACAGAGGGACATGGTGCAGGGTCCCCTGTGTTGCTCCCGGTCCCTGAATGAGAACAGAGCTGGGAAACACAAAGATGATGGCTTTGGGGTGTATTCAGAGCAGATTCATCCCTGCAGGAAACATTCCTCCTCCTCATCCCAGGCTTCTTCCTTTCCCAGGCTGCTTATTTATCCCGATGGATGCCTCGAGGTGCGTGATTTCAGGCCATTTAAACCAGGAAGGAGAGCTCTTGTTTCTACAGCAAGGGCATGAGGTAATGGCAATGGCAATTGAAGGTGTTCCGAGCGAGCTAAAAAATCACTGCAGTGCAAAGCACTTTGCTGCTCCTCCTTGGATCTCCAGGATGAGGGATAACCTGAATCCCAGAGCCTCCTCCGGTGACGCAGGGATGGGTACCATCCACCACCAGCACCCTCTCCACGCAGGGAAGCCAAGCTTTGGCTGGGAAATGGGAATGGGTTGGGAATGGTGGGGGCTTACACTGATTTCCAGCTTGAAGCTGAGGCGACTGTTTCCATGTGCAGCCAAAACACATCTTGGTTATTGCAGGGAGAGCTACACTTTGGGAGCATCCTTGCTCAGGGTTTGGAGCAGGGACAGGTTATTCCCCTTCATGGGCGCTGGGGGTGTTTTTCCCAAGAAACACAGAATTTCCCTTGAATATGATGAGCCAGGATGCAGCAGGGGAATCCTGGAAGGGATTTGGGGCCATTTCTGGGGTAGTTATTAATACCTTTGAGATTTTACTGCTGATTTGGGGATCGCTCGGCACCTCCTGCCTCTTTTCCATCCCTTTCCTCCTCAATATCCCCTAAGTGCTGACAATGACCGTGGGTCTTCCCAGTGATGCCAATGCTTCCCCATTGATCTCAAAGTCAAGGTGAAGCCTAGCTTTGGTCCACAGCTGAGCCAGAACATCCATGGGGTGAGAGCAGCCACGGGCATCCTGAAGGTGAGGTGAGTTCATGGAGTTCCACCTCAGCACCATCAATCATTGGGATGCAGGGCTGGATGCTGAGGTGCACTGCAGCTGAGGATGGGGAGAAAAGGGGTGGTGGTGCCCAGAGGTGCTGGGGGACCCCTTTGATGTCCCCATGGAGGAGGATGCGATATCCGGCTCCAGCCTCATCCCTATCCCCATGCAGGAACAGGAGAGGCCGGAGCAGGGATTTGCCACTGAACCCTGCTCCCAAAGCCGCTCGCAGCCTTTTCTCATTCCTTTCTTTCTGGATTTAAGGCAGCTTCCAAATTCCTGCACAGCCAAATCCCGCCTGGGGCTGCCAGGAAACCTGGCCAGCAACAAGTACGTGCCGTTTCTGTACCCACAACACAGCCAGGAGTGCTGTTACTCTGCTGGTGACGATGATGGGATGGAGCTGCAACCTTCCCGAGGATGCGATCCCATCCATTCCCGGGCTGCAGCCGGCTCCCTGCTCTTGGTGCTGCCCCGGGGAAGGTGCTCAGTGCAGTGGCATCAACCTCCCCTTCATCCTTGCCTTTTATAAGCCATAAAAACCCCTCTATCCCACCCCAGATTCCCTAAACTTCATCCTCCCCGTAACCTCCCGCTTTCCCGGCGCATGGAAGCTCATCAGCTCGATTGGCTCCCGCTGGGATTTACGATCCCGGGGACTTCCTGCGCTGCCTTTCAACGCGCTCCCCTCCTTCCCGCCACCCATAAATCAAAGCTGTTTGTTTCGGGTTGCTCCTTCCCCTGTGTTTTTATCCCCATCCCTGCCTCCCTCAGTCCCTGAGAGTTTTGTGGGATGCTGGAGGTGCCAGAGCAGCCCCGAGGCCACGGTGAGGGCACCCGTTGGGTCTCCATGTGCAATGTCCATAGCTTGGAAAAGGGGATGGGGAATGTGTTTGGGAAGATCCTGCATTGCTGGTACAGCCGAAACACCGCTCCCCGTGTCTGAACACCACCGGGATGCAGCCCCGCACCCAGAGGCCCTCAAGGCTTTGGGGCTTTCCGTTGAGTCCATCCCAACGTGATCCCAAAGCGATTTTACGGGAAGCCTTGGGTCGGGAATCCAGAGCCACGGTGCATGGGGCTGCACATGGAGCATCCTCCTGGCCGTGGCGGGGATGCGGAGCCAGCTCCATCCGTGCCCACCCATGGGAGGCCTGATCCGGTCTTTCCACTGGTGACTCATGGAAAAAGCCTTGTTTTGCAGGGGCCACTCGGCACGACGGGCGTTCCTGCCTCACTCCGCTGCTTTTCGACATCTTCGGCATGAAAACATCTGGAATCCTGACCTTCCTGCGGAGCTTGCCTCACCTGAAGGCATTCCCCCCCTTCCCTATACGTGTGCAGGGCTGGCTGCGCACACAAACCGTGCTCCGGCCGCTTGGGAAGCAGCCCGGTCGCACTTCCAGGGTTGAATTCTTTGGGAATTACTCTTTCAGAGCAGCTCTCACACAATGGTGCAGGGTTTGGAGGGTTTCCACCGCCCCGCGCCAGCTCCTTGCGGGCTGCTTTGGGTACAGCGTGTGCCGGGCTGCATGGGGCCCCCCAAAGCTTCTCTGTAGGGTTTATGGCACAACCTGGAGTGATGGGGCTGGGGATTGAGCCTGGCTTATTCCAGGTGTCCCAAGGCCAGGGTGGAGCGGGATCTCGCTGGCTTTAGGGAGCAAGAAGGATCCACCACTAGATTTGGGTTAGAACACTGCAAATGGTGAATCATGCTGATGTGTCACCCCAGCACTGTGCTTCATCCCAAATACTTGCTTTTCCCTTCTTTTCCCAGCCGTCCTTCAGAGGGCAGGGATGGAGCGCGGACCATTCCTGGTGGGATCAGCCTATCCCAGCCCTGTCACAGAGGGAGCCCTGGGCAGCTCTATATTTAACTGAATTGGCTTTCCTCTTGGAGAAGGGGCATGGAGAGGGCTGCTCCTTCAGTGCTCATTGCTGTGAGCTTTCCCACCTGACTTCTCACACCTTCACACAGCCCTGACCCTGCTGCTGCTCTCTGGAAAGCAGATTAATGGGGTTTTGTTTGGGGGGGGGGTGGTGGTGGTCAGGACATGGTTTAGTTTGGAAGCTGGGATGGAAAATGATTTCCAACCCCCAAATTAGAAACAGAATGATCCTTGAAGTGCCTTGTTTTGGAGGGGGTGGTGTGTGTCATCCCACAGCAATGAGAAGCACGTGCTGAAGAGGAGCAAAGAGCTGTGATTTATTTCCTCTTAATGCTACCCAAAGGACTGGCTCGGCTCCGAGATGCTGCTCTCACTCCCTTGTTACCCATCCATGGGGACGGCTGAGCTGCTGTGGGCAGGGGACACCCATGTGATGGGTGGTGCTGGGGGGGGGACCAGACTGTGTCACCCAATTTAGTTGTTTTTGTGGGGAAAAGGGGATTGTTTTGTGGGGTATTTTTGCCCTGCTCTTCCCAAAGGGGTTTGGATGGAGAGCTGATGTGAAGTGATGGGATAAGAGCCAGTGCTTTGCTGTGATGGTTTGTCAGTGCAGTGGATTACAGTGATTTTGCTGTGGGTTGCTCTATGGTCTCTATCTCCCCAAAACCATCAGGTCCTATGAGAACTGGGCCAGACTCTCGGATAAAGAAGCCCTGCTGGGGCAGTAGCTGGTCCTGCCTGCGATGGGCTCATCCCTGCACTCACCAGAGTTGCCAAAACCCCCTTACAAATAACATACATCTTTAAATTGCAAGGATTTCCCCCATGGTGGCTGCTCAGGGGCTCAAAGACCCAACTTAAAGCTGACTTGCTGCTGCAGAGGAGCCTTCACCCACTCTATTTATTTCTCTTGTTGGGTCTAACATGCACCCAAAAGCAGTGCTGGAGCTGAGGTGCCCCATCCTGCCCTTGGGGTGCCCCGGGGTGGGTTTTGTGGGACATGGAGCCAGTCGCTGGGATTTAATAAGACACTTATTGTATGTTACGTATCAAGAGCTGATAGGAAACGTGTCCCCAGGATTAACAGCCGTGTAGAAGATAAAGCAGGGAGTTCAACCTCCAAGGAGCACGTTTCAAATAACCCACTGTTGCTGCAGCGTGGAATAACCAGGGTAAGGAGTGGGATGGGTGAAGGTCAAACCGGTATCACAGGTCACCATGTCCCAGGAACCACGGGATGAGGCCGGTGATGCCTATGGATGCTGGTTATAGTGCAGGAGCAACGTCAGTTCCGTCTTCTCCCATTTCTTCCTCCTCTTCCACCTCTCCCCTCTCTTTTTGCTTTTCCCAGGCCCCAATTTCTCCCCCGTGGAGGCAAAAGCTTTGGCTAATTAGCAAAACGTGTCAAAGAGAATGATGAATGGCCCGGGAGGAGGTTTAGCTGCCTTTGTGCCTGACTTCTGCTCTTAAAGGGTTTATTAGACGATAAGGGAGCTCATGATGGCAGAGCAAAGTATGTGCTATCACGGGGCGTTAAAGGGTCGGAAAAGAGGGGGGGGGATATGGGGTGGATCGGGGTCACTCTCAGAGGGAGAGCCCAGAGCTCTTGTTTCTCTGCCTCTGTGTGTGACCATCACCGTGGTGTCTGGCCTTGGCAGGGGAAAAAAGACATGACACCCCCCCCCCCCCCCCCCCCAAGGCTGAATGCCTCCTTTATTCCTGCAGGGGCAGGTAATTTAATCTCATCAGCCAGGTTATGAATGTCTCTGTGTTACAGGGGGTTTGTGTGGGTGCACGTGCCGGGGGCGATGCTTTAGGGTGTTCTCTATGTGGGTGCTCAAGGTTGGTGCTGAGTCTAATGCTGGGGAGCGAGGACAAGGAGAGGCACAGCCAGGGGCCTGTCCTGCTTGGTGGCAGCAGGGACAGGGGTGCTCAGGACTGGACTCACTCCATGGCCACGGTGCCTCGAACCCTGTGGGACATCCCTGATGCTGTTCAGTGCGGGCTCAGACTCCCCTTGCTGGTGGCTCCCAGTGCTGGGTGGGCAACAGAAGCACAGGCAGGGACACCAAGGCATGGTCCTATCAGGACCATGGTGTGCAGCATCTCAGCTGTCCTCATCTTTCATGGGTTCAGGCATGTTTCAAGCAGCTCCCAAAGTGATCAATTCAGTGAAACTCATACTCCCTAAAGCCCAAACCCCTCAAAACCAGCAGCTTTTGCACCATGGGATCACCAGCATCCCTGTGCCATGCCAGCATCCCAGTTGGGAAGCAGGGAGAGGATGAGCATGGTGGGAGCTGTATCACCAGCACTTGTTTTAAACCATGAGTGATTCCAAACCCCATCAGACACTGATGCCTGCAACTGCAGAGGCCTGAGCCACTCAGTGCATGTCAAAGGGGTGGGAAGGGGGTGGTGGTGGTGTCAGGAGCTGCTCCATGAGGTTTTCCTCCAGCAAACAGACCTCTGGGCTTAATAAGCTATTTGTAAAGCTCGCTGTGGATAAACAAGAGGCCATGTGTGAGGCTGGAGGCGGCCTCGCAGGGCTCCACCGCGCGGGCTGGGACCTCAGCACAGAACTATTTGCAAGATAAACAGAGGAAAATGAGTGCTGGATGAGGCCAGGGCCGCTGGCAGCAGCGTGCCGCTCCTCTCGCGGGTATTTTGGGGCAGGAACTTGGTTTTCTGTGTGCTGTGGCTGAAAGATGCTGGGGTTTTGCCTCCAAAGGGAACCTCGCGTGCTTCTGAGTCAAAAATAGACCTGAGGAGGGTTGGGAGAGGCACAAAGAGGGCTTGCAGGGGAGTTTGAGGGTGAGGAGCTGGGATGTGCGGCTGCTGGTGCAGGTCCCCCTCGGGCTGAGGTGGCAATAGCGGCAATGTTAGGAGCAGAGCTGCCCTGCCTGCTGCTCGTGCCTCCCGTCAGCTCCTCTGTTCCTCCACGCAGGTAGATGCAATGTAATGGTGCCCGGGACACTGCCCTGTCCTCTGCCTGGCCTAGGCTGGAGCAGGGGAAATGGGTTGGGGTCCATCCTTCCATCCCCTCCATCTCTCCATCCCTCTGTCCTTCTATCTCTCCATATCCTCCATGTCTCCATCCTTCTGTTCCTCTATTCCTCCATCCTGTCCATCTCCCCATCCCTCTACCCTTCTATTCCTCTATATATCCATCTCCTCATTCTCTCCATCCCTCCCATCCTTCTATTCCTCTATATATCCATCTCCTCCATCTCTCCATCCTATTCCTCTATTCCTCAACCCCATCCATCTCTCCATCCCTCTGTCCTTCTATTCCTCTATATATCCATCCCCTCCATCTCTCCATCCTTCTATTCCTCTATCTCTCCATCCTGTCTATCCCAACATCCCCTCCATCCCACCATTCCTCCATCCCTTCTGGCTCTTCCAGAGCAGCAGGAGGTGATGCTCTGGTCAAGTGGGACAGGGTGTATTCCCTGAGGCCTGGTGAACTCTCACTGCAGCATCCCTGCATCCCGATGGCGATGGCTGAAACACAGCACCCACACTTGAGGCTGGGGATGGCTGTAGCAGCACAACCCTCTCTGGTGGTCTCTTTGGGAACACCAAACTAGGCAAACTGGGATGGGGGAAGTTGTCCCTTCTCTTCGCACACTTGCAAATCTCCCTTGGACATTGGGCTCGGTGGTGATTTCCTTTTCCCCTGCTCTGGAGACTGCAGCCATGGGGTGATGCCTGACTTGGGGCACCATGGCTGGGACCCGCCTGCAGCCCAGATCTCTCAGTGAAATCTTCTCCTTCTCTTCCCCACCCCCAGCAAATTTAATTAAAAGTCATTCAGATTCCTTTGAAAGAAAATGTCATCCGTCGACACAATTACACTTTAACTAACCAAAGCTGTTACAGTTCCTATATATATTGGAATCAGGCTGTCGTTATTAGTTCTAAGTAAGTAATTTATTCCCATTATTGTGTTCAAATTACAGGATATTACCCCCTGGGGAAATAATCCTGTTATTTGAAATGTAAAAAAGAACTCACATGGACAACAATGGATTCCTGAAGGAACCCAACAACAGTCCCCAGTCCAAGTGCAGCATCCCTTGCCTTGCATGGAAAAATATGAAGTTGCTTTTAAAAATGCTCTTTTCTCCTCTCTTTTCCTCCTGCCACCCCAACAGAGGTAAATACGGCTCCTTCTCTTCTAGCAAAGCCTCTATTTAGTGAGGGAATCCTGGATGTGCAGGAATAAGGGGAAGGGACATGTATGTGTATGACCTCCCTTAATGCGGTGATGGGAAGGGAGCGCTGGGATGGTGGGATGCCTGGTACATCCCAACGGGGGTTCTGCTGGAGCTGGGAACCATTGGCTTACTCCAGCAAAGAGCTGCTGAGCCCCTTCAGAAACACTGTTCCCTGCATCGAGATCCTCCAAATAACAGCTTGTCTCTACAACACCCAAACATAAGCAACTAATTTGGACCCACCGAAAGGAAAAAGGGGGAGGCCAAAAAAGAGAAGAGAAAGAGGAGGAAGAGGGAGGGGAGGGAAGAAAATCAGATACACTTGTAACCTGATTACAACAGCCAGCTATGTGTGCAAAATCACAATGCAGCTCTATAATTAAATCTCTCTTTCCCCCTCCTGCCGAGCTCTTTCCTCTAACAGGCATGGTACAAAAACAGTCGTTAGGACATCAAATTCCAGCTCCGACAAGAGGGGACCTTTTTTGTCTATAGCTGCTCGCCTCCTCTTTAAGGAAATAATAATTATAAGCCCAGCACTGCTGGCTGACGAGCTTTGTGGGGCAGAAAGGGCTCGTCTTGTCCAACTGTTCCTTTAGGGCTGTGGAGAGGGAAAAGAGGAGGGGAAGTGCTGGGAGCCAGCCACGGACACCCCCTCCTTGTGGTGGGGTTCAGGGTGAGAGGAAACCCTGGGGTCTAACAAGATGCTTGAGGGTTTGCAGCCATAGCTATGTCTTATCTTGCCCCGCTGGTTTAGCATCAGTGGTTTGGTACCCATGAGATTCCCAGGTGGGTGTGATGGTTTGGTGGGTGCATCCTGAGGCATATGAGGAGCCAGTGGATTCCTGGACATGGGGAAGACTCCTGCCCTAACACTTTCCCAAGGGGCCCTGGCTTCTCCTCATGGTGGTCCCAGATCCTGGGTCACAAGGTGATGGAAGGATGCTATGGATACAGCCCCCAAAAGGAACATGGAAAGGAGCCCCAGGAGGACAAGGATAGCAGCCTCCCTCCCAGCCCTGCCTGTTAATGGCTTTGATTTACTCCACGTTCGTCACAGCTATTCCCATCCCTGTGACACCCAGCACGTGCTTTTGCTGGCAGCTGCAGGCTGGTTTCAGCCTCAGGGACCCATTTCCTCGCGGGCAGGTTCCTGCTTGCTTCTTCAGCGTATTTTTGGGAACAGGTTTTGCATCCCATCTTCTTTTCTGCTTGAGGGAGCGGGGTCTGAGTTTCTTACAGTGATGGCACGTCTGGTGCAATGACTTGCAGCATCGTGGGGAGGGCAAAGGAGAAAGCCTGGCAGCAGGGGACCAAAAATGGGTCCCAGTGTGCAAGCTAACTACCACTGAGAGAGGATTTATCGATTGCACCTCGCTGGCAGGTAGGAGGAAGCAAGACTGAGCGCTGATGCAGGCTTTGCGATGTGACACGGATTCAGATGCCGTTCCAATGAGGCTGTGGATGTTTGGGTTTAATGGCAATTAACAGCTGTTAAAAGGCAAAAAGATCTATCCTAATAACACCTCCCGCTCCTGGTGCCTTTCATGAAGGGATTTGAAAATACGGTTGTGAGTGTTGATTTTAAGCCACGATAATGTACCCCAGGGAGGTGGATGGGTTTACCTTGCTTTCAGGCGGGGAAGCTGCAGCAGGCCAGGGCATGATGTGGGGACGAGCGTTTAACACCTGGCTCTGGGACAGGACTGAGCCAGGGACCAGTCAGCAGCATGGGTGCAGTTTTCACCAGCATTTCCCATGTCTTTTATTTAGGGGGGGGGAGATTAAATCAGTGCAAAACCAGGGGCACTCACAAGTTTAACCTTCAGTAGGACCCTCGTGCTGGGGGGGGGCACGTAGGAAATTGTCTCCCTGGGAGATGCAGCAAATCTGGATTTTCCAGTTCCTGGAGGGCTCTGCTTGTTGAAATGAGAAGCAGATAGGAGAGGTGAATTTTAAGAAGGACAGAGCAAAGGCACACAAGTCTGCAGTTAAGTTCTAAACTTCTTTCTCTGGATCTCCCGCTGAGTAAATGCTTTAGGAGCTTCAAACCACAGCTTTTAATATTCCTTAACATGCCCCACGATTCCTTCTCCCCCCCTGTCGCAACGGCAAAGAGCAGCTGGGAATATTTTCCATTTCCAAATGCTTTGTATGCATACGAAAGTACCTGCAGCTCCTGTGGGCCGGGCTACGGGAGGAACGCTGAAGCCAAGGGTACCTATTTGATATCAAACCTCAAAATAGTACATGCTACTGCTCGTGTCCTGCATCCAGGAGGGTGTTTTGGATTTAAGTGACAGATCAAGGGATAAATCCCCAGTTTACTCCGTTGATGTAGAAGACCTTGCCCTTTGGAGCTCAGCATTCCCGTTTGCTTGGATGGAGGCTTGTTTTAAACGCGCATACCTGTAAGGCTGGGGTGCTAGATGGGGGTTGCAGATTTTCGGAGGGTTTCCCAAGGCATGTTTCTCCACCAAAGCACATTTTTTTCCTGCTGAAAGGTGTAACTGCCATTTCCGTGCCTTCCAACCAATTTAGCAGCAGATCTGTAGCCAAAAAAACGCAGGCAGTAATTACAGCTTTGGGAATCGCGCTCCTCTCAAAGCTCTCCATGGGCTGTATATGTCAGCCCTCCTCTCTGCTCCCTGCCTATTTCCACCCCCCCCCCATCTTGGATGAAAAAACCTTATTATTGTGTAAAAGGGAAAAGAAGAGAAAATAAATGCACCCTGGTCTATCAAAGATCTGGTCTATCTGTGATAAAAGCCGGTACCAGGGGGCTGTGAAAGCATTGGGCACCCAGCACAGGTCCAGGTCCTGACACTGGGGGGGTCCTAGGTTTGGATCTGGGGGGATATGCAGGTGGCAAAGTGGGAAAGCAAGATGGTTTTGTGGATAAACACCCGCCTGCCCATGCCAGGCAAGGAAGAAACCATCAGGCTTTATTTGGACTTGAAAACCAGCTGTGGTTTGGGAGATGGTTGGCTTTATAAACCCTGGAGCGGTAGGGTCGGAACTGCTGTAATGGGAAGGGGGGGGGCACCACCCATGTCCTCTCTTCTCCCACACTGGCAGGGCATTAGGATGCTGCATCCATGGGATGTGGGGATGCTGCATCCATGGGATGTGATGCTGCTGCAGGCTCCTGGGCACTGGGTACAGCCCCGGGGGGGGTTGGGGGGGAGGACGTTTCTTGGGCTCCCCTCACTGCCCCATGCAATGCAAAGCCCGCAGCCAGGCTGAGCACAGGACTTATAATCAGCCAGGATTTATGGAGAAAAGTGAAATCTCGAGCTGTTCTGGTCATTAATCAGGAATTCTTCCCTTGGTTCCCAAGCTGTTTCCCCAGGGGGATCTCCTCCTCGGGACCCCCCACCCTGCAGCCCCCTCCCCACGGATGTACAAGGGGTTGAGGTGGGAATCTGAATTACCCCCCCCCCAATCGATGAATAAATCCCATGGGATTCATCGGAATAAACCCCAGCAGGGTCCCCCTTGCTTTCAAATCCCACCTCCCCCTGTAGGGGTTTATTTGGGGGGGGGCACGGGACGGGACGGGACGACGACACACACAACCCCCTGCTGTCAAACTCAGTGCTGCTTTTAAGGCTGGGGGGGGGGGGTGGGAGGCATGAAATGAGGGCAAGGCTTTGCCGATGCGTTGGGCTCGCCGCCGACCGTGTTTTAACGTGATTTATGGCTGGATTTCTAAATCCAGCCACTGACTCCACGCTTTAAATATAGCTCCAAACCCACCCTGGAAACGTGTAGTAAGCACGTTAAAAACGCCGGGAGAAAGGGATGCGCAGCCGAGCTGGGGATGGAGGGAATGGGGGTATGTGTGTGTTTTTTGGAGGGGGGGTGTCCTCTCTGCTCCAAGCCCATAGCAATGAGCAGGTGTGTCCCCCCCCCAAGCCTTGGCAGCCCCACAAATAGGGGGATCAGTTTTGTCTCTCATGTTTCTAGACAGCCCCCCCGCTCCATCCTACCTGCATCCCTGGAGGGGGTAACGACACAACGGGCATTGTAGGACTGGGGGCTGTGAGCTCTGCGCTGCTCCAAGAGTGGCTGGGCTGAAGAGAGGAAAAAAGGGGGGAAAAAAGGAGGGGGGAAAGACAAAAAGGGAGGGGGGGGAGGGAATAAGAGGGGAAAAGGGCAAAAAGAAAAAAAAAGGGGAAAAAAGGAAAAGTAAAAAAAGAGGAAAAAAACAACACCCCCAAAATTTAAAAAATATTAAAAAGAGAAAAAAAGGGGGGGGGGGGGGGGAGAGAGAAAAAGTGGAGGAAAAAGGGCGGTGGTAACGGAAAAATGGGAAAAAAAAAGAAGGGGGAAAAACCGGAAAATAAACAAAAATAAGGGAAAAGAACCCAAGGGGAGGGATGGAGAGAGAGGAGCTGGGCGCAGGGCGGGGGTTGTCACTAACCCCCCCCCCCCGGGGCGGGCGGCACCGTGGGAACCTGCCGGGACCCTGGCACCGGGGGACACATACACGACCACGCGCCCCCCCCCCCCGCCAATGATTTTGACCAAAAATAGGTATTTTGGGACATAAACAGTGTTTGCTGTAAAGCTTGAGAGGGAAAAGTGTGAGAGCGGTGGCTACCCCCCAGCTTCCCCTCGGGAGCTGCGGTATGCCCCCTTTGAGGGACCCCCCCCTCTCCAAGGGGCAATGCGGGGGACACACACACATACAGACACCGTCTTAGTGGAAATAAAGGTGGGAAAAGAGGGGGGAATGTTGGGAAACGGTGGGAAAATGGTGCACCCCCCCCTCAGTGCAGCCACAACACAGCGGGAGAAACCATAGTAATAATGATAATAGCAATAAAATATGTGTATATATATGTATAGGTATTGGGGGGGGGTATTTTGAAGGCATGGTGGGGGTCAGTGCTTTGTAGCAGCCCCAGCCCGGAGCTGCTGCTACAAGATGGCTCCCGGCCGGGGGAAGAGGAGGAAGAGGAGGAGAAGGAGGAGGAAGGACCGGAGCCATGGGGGGGGAGCAAGGTTTTTATTAGCATGTCCCTGATTTATGGCATGCCAGCCCCCCCCCCCCTTCCAGGGGACAGTAACGGGGAGGTCCGGGCGTGAAGGCATGAAATATGTATAAAATAGGCTTTTAAAGCCACATAAAAGCTATCGAGCCATTAATATATGTATTTTTTTGCCCCTTAATTCCCCACTTTTTGGGTTATTAAACAGAAAAGGGCGGGGGGGGGGGGGGAAGCAGCCCTCCCCCTAGAAACATCGGGGTTTGAGGCTTCGCTTCTGACGCAGCCAGGTTTTGCTCTTAGATATAAATAAAAACATATACATATATATATATATATATATTGGCGTTAAAACAGCGCCTTTCGGAGCGTGAGAGCTTTTCGAGGAAGGCGATGCCGAGGAGCAGGAAGAGTGGAACCGTTCCAGGCTCCGTTTTGGGGCCGTTTCGGGACCCCTTTCTGCCCCGTTTGTGCCGTTCGCCTCCAAACTCCCCCGTCCGGACGTGTAAGGGGGTGGCTTTATCGGTATTATTTAATTTATCCCGGGATTAAATATGTTCCCCTCCCCCTTTTTCGTTGTAAAAGCCGAGTTTTAACTAAATAAAGAGCGGGCGGTGGGTTGGGAAGCTCAAATGGGGGGGTAGGAATGATGAGGTGCTCGACCCCCCCCCCCCCCCCGATGCACAGGGCAGCGTGGAGAAGTTAAAAACACATTAAAGAAAGACGAAAAAGAAGGAAAGAAAAGTAAAAGTTGGGCTGGACACTGGGAAGGCAGAGCCAGGGCCGTTCTCCCCCCCCCCCCCCTCCTTTTGGCGGGCAGCTCCGCTTCTCCCGCCCGTTTGTAACGCTAAAAGCAGCTGGAAAAAGCGGAGTTTTGGTTAAATCGGAGGGGGGAGGGTGTTGTCTCCTCCCCAAACCTTCCTTTTCACCCTATTTTTACATTTTTTATGGGGCGGGGCCCGCAGGGAGGGATCAATCTCCCCCCCCCCCCTTCCCTTTTCGGCCTCTCCCCTTCTCCCCCTCAAAGGCCGCTTTGTCCGCGGCGGGGCCGTGGGAGAGGGCCCGGCGGCGCTTCCCCCTCAGTCTCATCCCGGGGGGCCCTCACGTCCCGGCCGTGGCAAAGGCAGAAGGGGAGGGCCGGGGGACGGGAAGATTGATTTAAACCCCGCGGATAATAAAGGGTAGAAGGGGTCGCGTTGTCCCCCCCCCCCCGTCACACCTCAGAGCGGTGCAAGAAGGGGGGGGGACCCGATCCCATCCCGCTTCCCCTTCCAACCGCCGCCAGCTCCGAGCGGGAGACTGAGGCGAAAGGAGGGAGGGAGGGAGAGGGGATGGGGGAGCCTGGAAACGGGCGGCGGGAGCGCCTCAGCGTGAGGGGGAGCGGGGGGCCTGGAAACGGCCGCCTGTTTACCCGCCGCTGACTGGCAGCGCGGATGGGCAATGGCGAGGCGCGGGCGGGCGTTGGGGCCGGCCCGTTCCGCGTTGAGAACAATGCGCGTTTCATGGCCGCGCCGCCCGTTCCCCCCCCCGTTCCTCGGTGGGGTTTAGCGTTTCTCTCCTCCCGCGCTCTCCTGTGTTGTTTTTTTTTTTTTTTTCTCCCCGTATTTTTTTAAATTTTCCCTTTTTCCTCGCTTTTTTTTTTTTTTTTTTTAAGCGAGGAGGAGGAGGGGGGGTTGTGTGTGTAAGGGGGTGTTTGTGTGTGTGTGTGTGTGGTGTGGAGGCGATGCTGCCTCAGCTCGGCGGGCCCCCGCCGCTCCATGGCGCGGCTGCTGCCGCCGCGTCGCTCCCGCGTTGCCCTTGCTGAGGAGAGGAACGGAGCGGAGCCGGGCCGGGCGGCGGGCAGGGCGGCGAGCCGGCACCCCCCGCCCCAGCCCCGCGCTGCCGCCGCCATGCCCCGCGACCAGGCGGCCTGACCGCGCTGAGGTAGGAACCGGACCCCCCCCGTACCCTTCCCTGCCCAACACATCCCGGGCCGCCTTTTGCCCCCTTTTTTGAGACGTTTTCCTCTGTTTTTAGCACTTGGGAGCCGCGATCCCGCAGCCCCGCGGCCAGACTCGCCCCGCTGAGCCACGCAGGCAGCGTTTAATTGAATTTAAACCGATTTTTTTCAGCTAAACTTAAGAAAACCACGACCCGATGGGATTTTTCTTACTGTTTTCCATTATTTCCCGTTCTATTTTATTTAATTAACCACTTTTTTTTTTGCTCGGCAGGTCACCCCCTTCTAGGCTCGGAGCCGGGAAGGGCGGCGGGGCCGGGGCTCTCTGAGCGCTGGAAGGGGGGGGGATAGGGAGAAAGCCCCCACTTTATTCCCCTCAGTGTTTATCATTCCTCTCTATCCCGGTGTAAAACCCGGTGGATCGGGCGTGGGATCGTTTCATCAGGCTACAAGCACGATTAGGTCTTTATTTTTCTGTATATTTGTGTATTTTTTACCCTTTCGGGGTTTGGTTGTTTCCGAGCGGGAAAAACGGGAGGAAAAAGAAGAAAAAAAACCCGAAAAAAATAACAAAACCCAAGCGGCCATTTGGAGCGTTGGGAATGCGGGGTGGGGGGGGGGGAAAGGGCAAGAAACGAGGCTGCGGGGCGATACCGGAGCCCTGGTCCCGATCGGGCGGCTCCCGGCGGGGCAAATCAGCCCCACGAGGGGAAAAATAGGAAAAAAAGAAAAATTAGGGAGTTTATCAGTGTTGGTTTAGGGTTTTTTTTCGGTGTTTTTCTTTTTTTTATTGTTATTTAATGTAATTTTGGGAGGAGAACGGCAAAGCCGCTTCCCCGCCGCCCGAT